CTAGTATGCGGGTTCCAAGTTAGTCTTCTGCCTCTAAAGTAAATCGTTGTTAATCGCAAACCTTTGTCTACGAAGGCCTCCTCCATGAATCAATATGATCGTGTGTTTACGTTATATTTTTGAATATCCGAATATGGAGTAGGTACTTATCGTAGTTATTCATTCATTTTCAATAATTCAATTTTAGTGAATGTTATCAATGATTTGGTCAGGTGTAGTGCAATGCGGACATGATCGATTAAACTTGTTCGAGTGACGTTACAAACACAAAAAAAAAAAAAATCATATTTATGCTGAATTCAATTGATTGTACATTCTCTCAGCAAGTAGGTTTAAAAAAAAAACACAATTATCGAAGCTGTCAACGGGAACTTGTAGCAAGATGAAGAAGAATAAGATTAGCATATGTTGATAGCGTTCGTTACCTCAGCCACAATGACCCCATGGTACTGCCTACTAATGGATTTTTATAAAATGATCAATAAATAAGGTATTTCAAAATGGCTTTCACTGCTTTCTTTATTCCAAGCTAAACTATAAATCTATCAGCAAGAGCTCTAAAACTAGTCTCAAGTTTATTTGGAAAGCATTTGCGTCACATAAACAGTACAAAGTGGACATATCTTCAATTTAATAATTATTAAATTATCAATTGAATAGGTAGGTTGGTAGTATCTGATGATTGCTCTGATTACATGTTTGCAAAATTTTTCGCAGGATAAGGTACTTCCACATAGACCGTAATTATTTTATTCTGTTCCTTACGAGGAGGGTACCCATCCCACCTGTTCAATGACGCAAGCTCTCCTATAAAGGATTTTTTTTATTCTCCACTTTCTAAAAGGCCAAGTAGAATTTGTTCTTCACATACAGTTACTCCTTATGTTTCGTGTTTCCCTTTCTTTCTGATTTGAAAGTTCAATCAAATTTAAACCCCACAAAATTTTGCCCTCCTAAGAAATTTAAAACTCCTCATAAATGGGCTACCTCTGCTACCGAAATTAGTTTAACTGTTATTTTCGCATATAAAAATATGTTTCAATTCGGATCGTTCCGTCTTTATCCAATTAAGAACTCTTCTCAAACAAATGTGGCCAACAAAAAAGTTTTCTTTCATGTAGATTTAATAATAATAATAACATTAGAATTTGTGATCTTTGTTGACCGTTGTTCTCATAATTTTGATCCAGAAAATGTAATTAAATGTAAATGAAATTAGAGCGGCATCTGAGAGTTTGAACTGTTCCATCCGAAGGAATGGATTAATTGTTTGCCTGATGACTAAATAGATAGTCATCCACGAATTGGGATGTATAAATTCGGTGTTAGAGACTATATTAATTAAAATGAGCTGATCCAATCGGAGGGACTGCAAACAGAGCCGACCGGCCTAGCTCAGTTGGAACTTAATTACAGGAATTGCCTCTGACGGCATATCGGCTATTGAACCGAGTATTTTTGTGTTGACTATCTTGTTCAAATTTCGATAATCAAATGAACGTTGTAGTTTGTGAAATGTTTTCATTATTAATACTGAGCTAAAATATCATTTAAAATAAGTATAATTTCTTTACTATATTATTAAAATATTTTCTTTAAATTAACTCTCTTCTGGATTTAGAAAATATTCGACGATTGAACTGTATATTATATTCACCCATTCATTTTAGGAAGATGAATTCAGCAAATGGAATATTTATGCCATAACGATTGGTTAATAGAATGATTTCTTTGATTTCAACAATTGGATTACTACAAGATGATGCACTGTAAACTATGCTATTTAATATATACATCAGATATTCTGATAAAAACATTAAATAAATTAACAATTACATAATTAGCAGATAACATTGCTCTTTCCAATAATATTATCGATCTTTTAATGGTTTTGCAGCTACCTTAGTCGAACTGTAAACATATAATGGAATAATTTCTAACACACTATTGCTGTAAATAAAAGCAAAGCGGACTATCATCCATAATCTATCTAGTTCACTCGTTTAAAAATGAAATGATCATACATCAGTGCTGAATTGATATAATTTAAAATTTATAAAACTAGTTCTTTTAAATTAATTAACACTATCTAATTATATTTACACACAAAATATTATTAAAACGTCAAGAATTTATCCTCAAAATTGTCAAATTTGGTAACAGAAATCTCATATATTTTACCCACAGGAAGCTATAGCCTATTTTTATCATAATTATTATGATGTACCTAACATTTTCCTACTGATAATTCGTATTTTCAATACAAGGCAAACATCGTTTTGGAATGGAGTTGAAGAACTCTACAACATTAAGGATATTAATACACAGAAAACAAAATGTATAAGAGATGAAAGTTAAATTCGAAGAATAATCAGATTTCTGATATTAGGAGTAGTTTTCATAAATCTTGGAGGAGCTGCGTAATTTAAAGTATTTCTGTACCCGGCTGAACGAAAGTGTCTACGGTGAAGTGCCTTACAAAGACTTGGAGGAGCTGGAAGAATCTTTTTCTCAAACCTAAGGAGCTTCTCCCACAGATGGTAGGTGACCGATAATAAAAAGATATCCAAATACTGGTCAAAGTTTCTGTCTATTTTGTTCTACTCCTCAGATTCATAGACCCTCCCTCAAAACATAGAAGTCAGGACCAGGAAATAAAGATGAAATATTTGAGAAAAGTTTAAGTTAAGACCAGTAAATAATGGATCCACTGTCACATCAAACCTTGAGATACAGCCTGTAGAAACTATTTTAAAAATAAAATATAAAATTAAATGCTACAAAACTCTGCAATGCTTCGTAAGAGATTCATTATCAAGATATTTTGAAACATAGAACGTTGAGATTTTAAAAGAGTATAAATAATTTATTAATATTTCACTTCATTTTAGCATTAATTTTAGGACGCTATTGAGACAACTGATCATAACATCATTGAAAGGAATCTAGAGCAAAATGGTATTGATATATCTGCTTCATAACTGGTGAAATCTGCTTTTGTAAAATGACAAAAGGGGTCTACTCTCGAACATGGGTCAAATATTTTTCAACCAAAGAAAGTTTTATTGAAATCAGTGACCCCACGTCTGTAACTTCCCCACGTATGTAATTAGGCTGCTTATAAACAACCAGACTGCTTATAAATCATTCAGATTTATTCAATTGTATTACAATTTAATGCTAAACAGTGGCGTAAGTAGTTAATATATTTCCATAATAAGTTATTATTTTAGTCCATGGTATAGGCCCCTTTTTATTTAATTATTAACATCCGCCTGAAACTATGTAAATAGCTTCATCTCATCGTAATCTACAAATATTTTATTTCTGAAAATTTTCGGAATTGGAGCGTTTTAAATCAGGAGGTCAGCAAACTTTGTCTATTTAATTAGGTACTTAAAACTCTTGAATAACCGTTCGCTGTCCACTTGAATCGTAAGATTACTTGAGCACAAAGTCGACAAAAAAGGTAACCTTTAAAAATATTCAGCCGTTAGCTGTGACCTGCACTCCCATATTGTCAAAATAACGAAGTTATATAGGCCAAACGGCCCAATATTTTTTGTAGAACACCTTTTTTATAGATTTTGTGACAAAATTATCTTACAATCCAGTTGGAAAGCAAATGGGTATTTACGAGTTTTTAGTATCTAATTAAATAGACAAAGTTAGCCGACCTCCTGATCGAATTATGAGTAGATTCTTAAAAATAAAACTTAAACCATTTAAACAACTATTCACTTCAATAGAAATTCGATTTATAACATCTTTTTCATGACTATAAAGCGTCATTCTGAGATGTTAGAAAGAATTCGTAAAGAAGGTATTTGAATGAGGACAAGGCAAAGGTATGGCGGATATCAGATGGCAATGAATCCCAGAAGGCAGTGCGTCTGGGAATAAAGGAATGTTCAAATGTTTTAGTTCTATGACATGGGATATAAAGGTCGGAAACATGGAATCTTGTTTTCTGGGAGTGGACTACGTGTTTAAACTGTACGAGACTGTAAATGTTGAAAGCGTGTAGGGAGTTGGCCGTTTAGAAAATTTAAGATCCAAGAAAATATTGTCGGCCGAAAGAAGAGAAGAGCCACGTCGAAAAGCTGGGAAACACGGGACCGTCTCGAAGTACGGAAGATAAATCTTAAGGAGTCCATCAATCGTTATAATTAATCCTCGAGCACCATCGGGATGCCACCTTACACCACACAGCCGTAGTCAAAATAGGTAAAATAAGAGAGGATACAAGAAGCTTGCTGATAGATTGTGAGAGTAGATGACGGGAGCAATGAAATAATTTAAGGTCACCTTCGGGTTGACCATCGGGAGATATGGACGATATGGGGTTTCCAGGAGAGGTTATTCCTTGGTTTTAACAAAGGATGAATGCGATGATCGGTAATGACTAAATGAGGAAGGTTGGATTTAAGGAGAAAATAGGAACCTATAATAATGACCTGAGCTCTCGTCGCTTTTAGCCTTAAATTATTCAAACTTGCCCAGGCATGATATTATATTAAACAATATTACCTGATTTTATTGACTGAATTAATGCGCGTATTTCTGGCGGGTGATTTATGTTGCGAAGGAGTGATATTGGTTAGAATATAAATGGGATTATTTTTTTTTTTTTAACAACAACCTAATAAGTTGTAATCTAAAATAAAACACATCGAACTAGTGGTTTTAAATTCGTGAATGTAATTATTTTAACAGTATATGCAAAGATGGTGATGAAGAACGCTAGCGTTATATTTATGTATGGAAAAAGGCTTTTTGAGCCTCGATAAATCATTACTTTATTTCAAATTTTAGTCTCTTCAGGCATCTTCAGGGATAATCTGATTTTACATATAACTTAAATTTTCATCTGAAAAAAACATACATAAATTTTTCTGAGGATTTACTGTTAGATATTGGTCCATTTATAATTTTTTCTACTAATATTTATTTTAGTTCCTTTTCCTAGATGATCTGTTATATTTATGTTATTTTTGCAGGAGGTGAAATTTTCAAAGCTGTTTGAACTGACTTCTCCAACAAATGGACATAATACTAACAACAGGTAATTATAGAGCATATTTTATTATATTTGTATTATGTTACACTTAATAGAGAGGAAGCAACTGAAAGATTCCAAATACAAAGCATGAGACACTATAATACCTGTAAAAACTAACGAGTCAACGATTCGTCAATTTCGGTATCATCAGGGCAAAAAAATATATAACATATTATCAGCCTAAATGCAGTACTTCTTATATCGACAGACCGAAAAAAAATAATAACAAGAAAGTTTTATTCTAATAATACTACATAACTCATAGACATCTAATCGCATATTGAAGCTGAAGGGAGGTAACATTGGGACTACATAATAGTGTCTGTTATACCCCACCTCCTTGCTATCCTTCAGGAGATCATTGTATGTACCTTGGAACGAAGTACTGTTAATAAAAGATGTGTTTTGTTTGGTTTGCATGTATAAAATCTTGATTTTTTTTCTTTCTTGAAGATGTCTGAATTGGCGAAACATTAAGGATTGGCGAATAAGTGATCAAGTATCCATCAGTTATGTAGAATTCTTATTACATCAAATTGTCTACTACTATCGAAAATTTCTTTCTCTTAAGCAACCATAAAACTATTTACATTGATATGCCAATATCTCATAAATGGCTTATTATGTTGAATCCATTGTTGAAGAGTTTATTAACAATTTCATGAAATTTCAGTTAACAAGTAAATTGAATATATCCTAAGAATATTGTTCAGAATATTATGTATAGATAAGAATATTGTGAGGGAGACGTGGCTCTGAGTGTGAGGGAGACATTTTAACAGAAAGCAACTTCCCACAGCGCATGTCTCGACGATACTACCCGCAAGAAGCTGTAGGTCCAATCCACTTCTTCTCGGGTAGGCGTGAAGAAACAATACCTAGAAGACAGGACAGGAGAAGATGGAAGAAGAAGAAATTAGAAAGAAACATGAATCAAACAGCCTGTGTGCAAAGCAATTTATCACAATGTAAAAAGATAAACTTGCAGCAGTGATTTTTTTATGCTGGAATATGTATCAAGTCACTGCTGCTAACTTACGTATTGCCTTAAAGGCATGGAAGGGAGGAAGAAATACAAATAAAATAAAAAGATTTATCTAAAATCTTATGTTAAAGATTTTATTTATTATTTTAGTCCTAGTATACAATTTATTGACTTTCTCAAAAATGACATCTATCACCCGGACAAATCTTTTCTCTAAGTAATTACCAATAGCCAAGTCGATAGATGTACATTGATTTTGAAACAAGATCGAGACTCAAAAATTATACACGTTTCCCTCTAACAAAAAATTTACTTGTTATCTTATTTAGTTACATCTTTCATTTTTCTTTTCTTCACAATTATTTGTTAATCACAACTAGTTAGCAGTAGCACAGAGAATTTGGGAACCTCAAAATTTTATGACATTCATTTTTTTTCAAAGAGAATAAATTTTAAATAACCTATTTCGGGGTAATTGTAAGTCGGAGGACTAGGTTATTTACACTCGTGAATTTAATTTTTCTAAAACAAAACCCCGGCACTGGATATAGACTTTGACGGGAACTGTTGTTGGGAATTTGAGAACCTAGTACTTTTGTGACACTGAATGACAAGAAATAATAAGAATATATATATATATATATATATATATATATATATATAAGACTTTAATAGATTCATTTATTACAGTTGTGAAAATAAATTGTTTCGTTAGACAGGAGCAAAAATTCCTTTTATTTAGTTGTTCTATATGCGTCACAATCGAAGAACAACAAACCAGGTGATTCAATTACAAGTCCCACATTTCAGATATATATATATCTGAAATGTGGGACTTGTAATTGAATCACCTGGTTTGTTATTCTTCGATTGTGACGCATATAGAACAACTGAATAAAAGGAATTTTTGCTCCTGTCTAACGAAACAATTTATTTTCACAACTGTAATAAATGAATCTATTAAAGTCTTATAACTGTAACCTTGATATTCTTAATCTTCAGTGTCGTAGGGTTCTCTTCTCAGGTAAAATCCTTCCTTCTTGCTCTCCCGGCAAGAAGTGTTCTCTCGCTGTTGCCCTGTACTATCTCTTTTCCAGGTTTCTTCCATTCTCTGTTCTCTAGCTTTTTCGTCGATTGCTTATCGATTAGATACTTTTCAATAAACAACTCGTCTACTGCATAATTGAATATAATTTATAGTGCAACCCTACATTCCAATACATCCCCTCACTTAATGCCACATAAAGGAGAATATACTAGAGGCCATCTACTAAAAAATGTAATATAAAGAAGCATGACAAAGGGACTAGCTACGGGATATTGTTAAATATTCTACTTAACCTCTTTCAACTTCCCTTCTAGACGATTTATATTTTTTTTATTTTCGGTTCAAAAAAAAAAATGTTTTCATGGAATGTTACTGTTGTTTTATTACTTTTATTTATTAAGTTCTCAAGAGACATAAAAATAATTTAGTAGTATATGGCTGGGTTTTTATAACAACTTCTTTAATATTTTTTTATTTTCTAAAAGCATTAAAGTTTGTTTATTAGTTGATGAAATGATACAAACTTTTGGTTTGTTGTTGTTTAAATGCTTAAACCCAAAGGCCATCATCGCCTGATAAAGATTTTTTTCTTAAGGACTTGTGATCTCTTAGTTCAAATGAGTAAAATATCACAAATATTTTATTGGCGTAAGTCATTTAGTGGAATAAAACACTCTCATGAGATATATTGCTTCCTCACTACCGAAGGCAGGGAAGCTTTATCAAGGATCAAATTTGGTTCGACTGTCAGTCTGTCAGCTGGTTCGATTAGTTTGTGAGTCAGTAGTTAAATCGATATAACGGGCATATCACTTACTACCGTTTATCCAATTTTCATTAAATTTGTAGAAATTGTGCTGGTTGGCGTCTAGATGGTCCTATATCAATTTTATCAAATTCAATCCACCACTTTCACTTGCGCACGCGTATTTTCAGGGATATACTACTGTTTCAGAAACGGCTCGTTCAATTTGGCTCAAGCTGCAAAAAGGTAGGTATTAATAAAAAAACGTCTCCCAAATAAGGTCAGTATTAAATTTATATTAAAAGATCTAAATATTTTCTTATGAGCATAAAATCTCTGGGAGAAGCCGTTTTCGGAAATTCAGCAAATGGTTTTGATAGCCACGAGTTTTGTTTATTAGCAAATACTAAAATGAGAAAAAGTTTCGGATTTGCAGTTTTTATATTTGAAAATTCGTTATTAAAAACAAAATTAAAAACAGTGCATACTGAATATGTACTCGCTACTTTTAGTGCAAATGACCTATTTAAAAATTGAGTGTTTTATATGAGAGTGTAGAGTTGAGTGTGTTTTACATTAAAACTAATTATTTCTTTATGATTTATTAGTATAATTTTATATTTTATTGTCCTCTGGTATTTTTCATAGCAGTAGACTACTTATATCAATTGCAGACTACATAGTGTTAATTAATTGTTACTCTGAGTTCATAAAAAGAAAATCTTATTGGAGAAGGCAGTGGATCAGCTGATGCAAAGGACGTGTTCTGATATCTTCTCTCAGTTTCTGCCTATTTTTCAGCGGAATCTCTTTGATTATTTACTGAATACAGTTGAAGTGTACACTAGAGCAGTTGTTATTTACTGTTTGCTACATTTTTTTTTTTTTAATTTTTTTTTTATTTAATTTTTTTTTTCTCTTATGATATGCGGCATAGTCAGCAAGTGATGTCCAGTAAGGTGTCCACTAAGAGGACTCGGTCAGACGGCGTTAGTACCCCTCGTGATTCACCAGCGAAACAAAGAACTCGTCGCTGCCTGCGAGAAATTGCTCCAATAACCACAGTGAAAACTTCAGGTACAGAACCTCAGCCTCAACCAGGTACCTCTTCGCAAGAATTGTTGAAGAATCTCCTTTCTTCACTCCAAACCCGTTCCAAGTGCTTCATAATGACAGAGAAGAAATGGAGTCAGCAGCAGTACCTAGGGAACCAAAGCCTCCTCTGATATTTGTAAAAAATATCAAAAATTTTCAACTACTGTGTACACAACTAAACGAAATCTGCTCCGGCAGTTATTCTTGCCTCAATAGGACAACGATACAAAAATAACACCAGATACTGCAGAAACCTACCGAAAAATTGTGAAGTACGTGTCCGAAACGAATGCAAATTTTCACACATACCAGCTGAAACAGGAGAGATCGCTACAAGTGGTGGTAAGAAATTTACACTCCTCAACCCCAACTGAAGTGATAAAAGAAGAACTAGCGACGCTTGGTTTCAAAGTGCGTCAGGTAACCAACGTTCTGAAGGAGAATAAGGAGCAGCCAGGAGTAAGTAATAAAGTTCCACTACCTTTATTTTTCGTGGATCTAGAGCCATCACCTGGTATTGAAAAAATATATGACATCAAGAGATTGTACTACACTATCGTGAAGATAGAGAAGCCATACCCCAAGAAGGAAATTGTACAGTGCCACAATTGCCAGGCGTATGGCCACACGAAAACTTATTGTCACCATCTGCCGCGTTGCGTGAAATGCGGTGAACAGCACAAATCTGTGGAGTGCACCAAACCAATACAAGATCCTGCAGTGTGTGCACTATGCCAGGAGGGACACCCGGCCAACTACAAAGGCTGCCAAACCTATAAGAGCCTCAAATCCAGATACCAGAAGAACCGGATTCAAGATGAGACAACCAGACCAAGAAGAGAACCTTCTAGAATAGTTAATAATAATTTATCATACTCCGAACTACTTGGAGGTAAGAACCCCAATAATACATGTGAAGCCCTGTCGCAGCAACTACCTCAGCCCCAACCTCAATATTCTGTTCATCCTAACACACATAATCATCAACAACCTCAAATTCCTCCTCCTTCAAATGCAACAGATCTCACCAGTTTGTTAGCATCTTTCCTCACCGATTTCAAATCCCTAGTTACTCCACTCATATCACTCCTTACAAATCTCGTACCTCACCTCATCCCTCCTTTAAAAAA